ATTATCCATTAGATTAATAATTCTAAACCAAAATGTTAAAACAAATATAGGATAATTGGGCCCATGAATTAATAATTCCAATCCCATATTCTAATCCACCCAATCAAACATGTCCTAATAGTATGATGGCCTCAGTAGGGGTTTGACCTTTATGTTGTACTAGTGGTGTTTTAAGAAGTTGATAAAAAAATAATTTTTTAATTTTTTAGTATTTTTTGAATATAAAAATAGAGAAGTGATGTGATTAAAAAAAAGTCAAACAAGTTAATTTTTTACTATATTGCGAAAACACCCCTAATTGTTGTAAAAGACTTTCAAAATTTAAAAATTTTGGGTTGGGCAAACCATTGGAGCCATGGCCACCGGTAGTGGAAGGAAATTAATGTTTCATATCATTTATCAATAATTGATCTTATACTATGAGAGTGTGAGAGATATATGATAAATTATTTTGAGAGAAATCACTATTATGTTAAAAGAAATCATATATATGTATATGAGAGTGTGAGAGATATAAGATAAATTATTTTTTTAATTATATAAAAAAAGTGAAAATGTAAGAGAAATTACTTTTTTTATTTTAAGAAATGTAAAGTTTTAGGAGAGACATGTTGGTTAAAAAATTATTTATTTATTTTTAAAATTGATAAAAGAAACCGTACATATGAGTGTAAGAGATGTTAGACAAATTATTTATTATTATTATTATTACGGAATATGAAAATGTAAGAAAAATTACCTTTTTAATTATATAGAAAATGTGAAAATATAAGAGAAATTACCATTTTATTTTTAAAAATGTTAAATTTTAGGAGAGACATGTCAGAAAACATGGATGCAACCGGCGTTGATGTCAGATTCCGGCGAACTCTTTGGGGTTTCGGCTGTCGGAATCTGAGTTTGAAACTGGAGATTGCAGCGCCGGCGGAGAGAGAACATAAGGGAGGAGAAGAGATCGGACGGCAGAGAAGAGGGACGTAAGGTCGGAGAGTTTAGATCGGAGAGCTGAGATATAGATTATTTATTTATTTTTAAAATTGATTAAAAAAAAAAAGAAAGATGTCAGACAAAATATTTTTTCTTAAAGACACTCGGCTAAAAGTTTTAAATTAAATTTTCAAAGTCTAAAGTTGGGGCTCTTTTTTTCATTGGCCATACGGGCAAGTTCCTACAAAAAGACCACACTAGTCAGGTATATATATTATCAGAAATGTTTGATTTTTTATTTCTATTTTCACTTTTTTTTTTTTTTTTTTTGAAAGTTGTATGACTTTTAATTATCTTGGCCTGTGTATGACGTGTATTTATATATATGTGAACCCCACGTTACGAATGGTGAGAATAAAAATAGAATTTGTGGAGATCATGTATGTACGAGTCTCTATCACAATTGATATACGGTAGACAGAGCCAAAACAAATCGTCGCTCTCTCCTTCCCCCCTCTCTCCATCTCCGATTCAACCACAACCATGCTGCCGTCGGCGTCTCCTCCTCCGCTGTCCGGCTCCATGACGGTGACTCCGATCATCATTTTCCTCCCCCCCCTCTCTCTCTCTCTCTCTCTCCTCGTTGGGAGAGTGGTCACCTGAGCTTCATGGTTGCTTGAGCTCCATGGCTGCCTGAGCTTCCCCCCTCGACCTCTGTCTCCGATGTCTTCTTCGGCGCCTCTGTGTATCTCAGATCAGCACCGTCATCTATCTCAGATCTGTCGGATCTCCGATGATCTCGATCGGGTTTCAGAAAACATGGATGCAACCGGCGTTGATGTCAGATTCCGGCGAACTCTTTGGGGTTTCGGCTGTCGGAATCTGAGTTTGAAACTGGAGATTGCAGCGCCGGCGGAGAGAGAACATGAAGGAGGAGAAGAGATCGGACGGCAGAGAAGAGGGACGTAAGGTCGGAGAGTTGAGATCGGAGATCTGTTGGATCTCTTCTCCTCCATGTTCTCTCTCCGCCGTATATAGAAATTCACACAAAACTTGAAATTCTCTGATCTAGAAATTCACTCACTGATCTATACGTATACATACACACAAAACTTGAATCACTGATATATTATATATACGTATATACACAAATTCACTCACTGATATTCACTCAAAGTTTGTGTATATACATATATCTATATATATATATATATAGAGAGAGAGAGAGAGAGAGAGAGATTGAACTTTTCAAGTACATGTTGAAATTATTTTCTATATATCTACATCCTTCGCTCTATATATTTCTTGTGATTTTGTAGGTTGAAGAGAACATTTGCAAGTTTGCAAAGAAAAGCATGAAACCATAGATCTGTGTCACAGATTGCAGTCATTCTCTATTTTTTTAGTTATTATTATTGTTGTTGTGGTAGATTGGATCTGCGGAGAAGCTCTCTCTATTTTTTTTAGTTGTTAGATTATTATTGTTGTTGAGGTGGTATATCTGGATTGTTGTTAGATTATTATTGTTGTGGTGGTATATCTGGATCTGTGGAGATTTCAAATTAGATCTTTATTTTTATTTTTTTTAGTTGATTGTTATTGTTATTGTTGAAGATGAAGAAAAAAATTGCAACAGAATGGTGATGAAACACAATGCAATAGATAGGGATAGAGTGAGAGAGAGAGAGAGAACAAAGATCTGAACAGATAGAATTTGATTTGGCTTGGTATTTCAACAGATAGAAAACAAAATTGCATAGATATTACACAGATAAAATTTGGACAGATAGAACATTTGCACAGATAGAAAGTTTTTAAAAAACATTTGAACAGATAGAAAATTTACACAGAAAAATTTGAACAGATAGACAAAATATTTGAACAGATAATCAATGAAAAGTCAAATAGATAAAAAAAAGTTAGAGGTAAAATTGAAAACAAAATATCTTTTATGATTTCTCACCAAACTGCTTCACAAAGTGTGGACCTTTCATCAACAAAAAAAATTTACTGGACCTAATGCCTTAGACATTTATTTGAATGGATTTTTCACCAATTTTTTATTTATTTTTATTATAGACAAATAGGAGAATGTGAGAAAATTTACCATTTTCATTATAGGAAAGGTAAAATTATAGGAGAAATATTGTGTGTTTACAAATTATTTATTTATTTTTAAAATTGAAAATTCAACATGATTGGGTTAAAGTTTTGGAGCCCTTGGAATCTCATGGTTAGAAACTCCATTTTATTTAATAGATAGAAGATTCCTATCTAAAATTTGTGATCTAACACAGCCTTATTGAACTGTTTAATCAAATATTTTTACTTTTTACATCCACTTAATTTATTTATATTTACAAAATAAAATATTTATGAAAAAATCTTTTAAAAAAAATACTAAAGACAAGAAGAAGAAGAAATTGTACATTTTCGTATCTTTTGTCTATTTATTGAAAATTTTCATAAATATTTTTATTTTTTAAATACATCTGGATTATTTTTTTTAAAAAAAAAAACATTCAGATTAGGTACATTTAAAAGGTAAAATAATTGGCAAAGTATAAAAAAAGTTAACTAAAGACGATAAGAGGTGAAGAGAATAATTTTAAAAAAACATATATATGTTTGAAAACTCAACAAAAACAGAGATTTGGCCTATGGGATTTGGAAATTAGATGCATTCATATTGATGGGGAGTCACTCACTTTGTTGAAAGCAATAAATCTTGGCCTCTTGATTGGAAGCTTTAAGTGGCTTCTTGATTTCAGAGGTTTGTAATATGAATCAGCAAAGGAAAATTTTTACTGCAGTTACATTATATTAAAATAAAAATAAATAACATATCGAACAAGAAAATAAAAAAAAAAATAGCAGGAACAGTTACAAAAACATTTCAAGATTTGAGTTTTATAATAAAATAAAATTTTAATTTTTAATTTTGTTAATTTAAATTTCAATATTTTGATTTGTGTTCAATATAAATTATTTATCTTTTTTTGTTGATTAAAACCAAAAAAAATAATATTTTTATATTAAACTCAGTGTAAATTTATATAAAATGTTTAAAATACTCTTTTTCATTGAGTTAAATGACTAAATATCATTTTTTTTGGGTCCATTTTATTTAATGAAAATAGAAAAATAATTTAAGGGGGATGCACCAATAAATCCCAAATTAATAACTTATGCACTGTTTAGTCCTAAAAGTTTTCTTATAGACTGAAAGGTCCCATTACAATGTTAATAATATCAGATACAATGTTAATAACATCAAAGTCATGTTACAAACATTGGATTTCAAACATCTAATGTTCATCAAATTTCAATAATGTTTGAAAATATAGGATGAAAAACATTTAATGTTCATCAGATTTTAATAAATTTTGAAATTATAGAATGAAACATCAGATCATTTACATCATCCACATCATGTTGATGTAAAAATGGGACTAAATGGAGCATAAGAAAACTTTTAGGACTAAATGGTTCAACGTTTCAAAAACTAGGACTTATGGGTAAATTTTCCATAATTTAAATTAAAAACAAATCAAAAATTAAGGGTAAAAAATTAAAGATTCAATATTTACTTATAATAATCCTAGATATTTTATTTTTAATAATTTTCCCAAATAACAAAGTCTCAAAGCGCCACACAAAAGGATTCTATGAACTATAAATAACAAACTACAAAACCATATAATAAAATAAAATAACTACCGTTATGAAAATCCACCAATTTTCTTACATATGTGATTCAATTCAATAGATTTTCAGGTTGGTGGGTCAGTGTGTGGCTGAAGGTGAGAAGGATGGGAAGAAGTAAAGTTGTGGTCGGCGGTGGAAGAAAATTAAACCCAAGAAAGAGGAAAAGCTAGAGACCTCATAAAACTTATAGCAATCGTACCTTTTGGTTAAAGATAATCAAATACAGCATTAAAGGAAAAAAGTGTATGAAAGTAAATAAAATATAATTATACTTTATTCACATTTCACTTACCATTTTTCTTTTTCTTTCAAATCTCTCAACCCAACACAAAGTTAGAGGTTTCTCATGTGAATCGGCAAAGGAATTGGGAATTGGGTGGGTCGTGTTACATACAGAAATCCAAAAAATAGTAAAGTTAAACAAAGCATATATACAAACAGAACACAAGACCACCAAGATAACTCTTGGTTGTTAAGGATGTGTACACACTGAAAAAAATAAAATAAAGAGTTGATAAATAATATTATACAGTCCAAATCAAGGGACTTACTAAAAAAAGAAATAAAGAAAAAAAAAATTCTCACTTTTTATTGATTCTAATTATAAATAAAATAAAAAATCACCATCCAGCATATTTTTTGCCTTCCACCATCTTTTGTACCTCGACATAGGACCCAACTTTCTTTGGTAATCTGGAGCTTCACACAAAAGCAGAGCAAACATTGGTGGAACGTAGCACAATGTTGAATCACTTGTATGCAATTATGGGCAACAAACAACTACAGGGAGTCAAACATAAATAAGACATCAATAAAAATTTGAAACTACTGCATTGATGAGTGTTATATTGAACCATCAAAAGTACAACCTCGATCGCATTACTGTTGTACATTATTAGCATTAATCAATAAGTATATGCTACCAAAAGTAAATAATAATGAATAGAAGATTTTGCATAACTACAATATGAATCAAATACATACCTCTTCATTGAAATGGAAAAAGATTCACCAATCTTCTCTCACATTTCTTGTATGTCGGGATCCATAGAGGTTATCCAGGAGGGGCAATCTTGTATTATCCGTGTTACCAAGGGTGGCAATGTACTCCCAAAGGAAAACCTTGTCAGGAGTGGTAAATTTAACAGCATAACTTGTTTTAATTGATAGAGCACGTGATTGATTTCAACATTTGATCCTCCGGTTTTGAATACCTCTTCTAGGGAGCCACAATCTTCGACGTTGAGGAATTGTAGGTTTTGCAAACTTCCAAGTAGTTCTGATGGAGCAATATTCAATAAGTTTTGACAATCGAACACAGCCAAATGTCTTAGGTTGTTGAAGGAGTTGGTTGGAGGTGTGCTATGCCATATCTCTTTGATGTTGCCCAAACTCCAAATTTCCAAGACTTCCAAGCAAGGAAACACAACCTGTATTATTGATAATAACAAAAGGAATGATGAGAAAATTATTAACCTTTTACTTAAGAAAGACCAATAAAAGGGCAGAGCTTTGATTTCCTAAGCAAGTGAACAAACATAGTGTTAGAGTTCATAGGTACTGTGATTAGGATTTAGGGGTAGGAAATAATATTATCTCTTGTAATGGGGCATAATTTTAAGTGTAAGGTTTTGGTTTATTAGAGTCTATGTTATTTAGGTTTCAAGACCTTTTGGAAGCTATCAATCTTTCAAAAATGCTAGTGCACAAAATTAGAATACAAAAAGTACACAGAAAATTTATTGTATAGCTGAAATTTATTAGGAATGTGATGTGAGCCATACTTTAAATAAATCTCAACCACAATATAATTTCTGTGTTATTTCTGCACACCTACCATTGTAGATCTTACTTTGTTTGGGAACTAAAAGAAAAGGAATAATTGGTAGAAAGTCTCTAACTAAACAAAATTGAGACACAACCAAAACAATATGGTTGGGTTAATAAGAGACAAGACTCGTGTACTTAATCCCATTCGTCATTTTTTATAGGTTGGTGACACTACGCAAGATGAATTCACCACTACACGGAAATTTTTATTTTTATTTTCGAAAAAGAGTTACTACTGATACCTTCAATTTTCTGAAAGAGGTTTATGATTTTACTTGAATAATTCGAAATTTAGTACCTCTAAAAACTCATAAAACTTATAGCAATCGTACCTTTTGGTTAAAGAGGGGTTGCGGTTCGAGAATTTCCACGATGAGCTCATGCTTTGTTGATTCTTCTTTTTCTTCTTCAGGTCCACAACTGTCATAGAAACTCTTGAGATTCTCCAACTGATTTAGTTCTATAGAAAACAGTTGAGGGAATACGAGAGGGTTATCGTTATCTCCTCTTTCCTTATTGGCCACTACTATTGCTTTCAATTTTGCACATCTGTGTATATATAGATGTCGAAGATGCGCTAGGTTTCTTAATTGACAAAAGGATTCTCTCTCTTCTTGGACAAGGGGTTCTAAATGTTTGTCCCATACCACTGATATATTATGTACATCGAAAATTCTCAATTCCTCCAAAGCGGGGAATGCCACCTGCAAAATTTGATATATTAACTTCTGTTCTGTTAATTACCAAGAATTGGCAAATAAACACAAAAAGTTACTAGAAAAAACACACCTTTCCACAAAAGAGAGGTTGCGGAGTGTTAGAATTGTTCGAAAGGAAGCTCCTGAGCTTGGGTATGTTGCGCAACGTCATTATTTTTAGTTGGAGAAAAATAATTTCCTCATCATTTTCTTGTCCTTCATTTCCAACAATTTCTTCCATATCCTCACAGTTTTCTATTTCTAGATGTGTGAGGCGCGCAAGAACTCTTGCAATGGAGAGTGAGAAGAGGCATTTGAATCCACAATTTCGAACATGTAACTCGCGCAATTTAGAAAAAGAACCTGGCAGACTTTGTGGTTGAATTTTTAGACGCCTTGCGGGCATTCCAAGAAGACATTCAACATCATTACATTCTATAACTTCAAGATGCCTTAATTCAAGAAACCCCCCTCCATCTCTGTCATGAAGCAGAACCTTTTTCAGACCTGGCAATTTATTCAAATATAGCACTTCAACTTTCTCCAACACATCTCGGAACTTGTTTTCTATAGGAATGCCACAGAGGGAGAGTTTCAAGATCCTTGTTGAGAAATAATTTTCCTTATATTTAATATTTTCCCCAATTGATATACTAAATCTAGTCAATTTGGGCAAGCCCATCGACCTTGGCATATGAACTTTTAAAGTCTTTAATAGTGTCAGCGAATTCAATTCGAGGAGGCTCGCGTTCTCTCGCTGTTGGTCAGTTCCTTCAACTTCCCATTGGTCAAAGGTATCTGAAATGTATAATTCCTCCAGTTGTGTTAATTTCGATATGACATTTGGCGGAATTACTCTTAAGTTGGTACAATTTTCCAAATCTAGCAACCGTAGACTAGTCAACTCTCTAATCTCTGGTGCCAGCTCCTCGATCCCATGAAGGCTAAGTATCTCAAGGTTCTTTAATCTCCCCAATAGAGCTATGTCCCTTGATAAGCCATTTAGACATAACATCCGAAGCTTAACCAACCTTGGAAGCGATGACGGGGAGCTCTTTAATGGCATTTCACTCAGATCTAGGATTTCAAGATTGTTCTCCATCCCATTGAAAAAACTACTTTTAACATTTGTGGGTGAAGAGTCCCTGCATTTCAACACCAAGGTATGGAGTCTTGTACATTCCAACACATCGGGAGGCTCTTGAATATTTGTGGTGAACCTTAATGAGATTGCCGAGTAATGTTCATATGTGTCTTTCTCTGGCCATTTTTTGATAACATGTTTCACGAGATATCCTTTCTCCTCTTCCGCAATTGTTATTGCAACATCTCGAATAACATCGTGCATTTTGACCACATTTTCGTTCGTGCCATCTAACAACAAACAAGATTGGTTGAGGACATCAACCATCGCAAGTACTCTGTTTCTTACTTCATCAAATATATTCAGATTTTGATCAAGCAATCTCATCCCAACACTGTATCTTACCAAGTCATCAATTGAAATCTCAGCATCTTCCGGAAACAAAGAGCAAAGCAAGAAGCATGACCGTGCATCCTTGGGTTCTAAACGATCATAACTCCATTTTAAGGAGATGAACAAATCTGGGTCAATACCTGCAATTTCTTTCAGCTTGTAATTTTTTAGTTGTCGAAGTGCATCTTTCCACGCATGCTTGCCCTTACCTTTTAATGCTGCTGCAACTGCACGTATAGCAACTGGCAAGCCTCCACATTTGTCACACACTTCCTTTGCTTCAGAAGGGATATCAGAATGAATTGAAATTCCCGCGGTTTTCTTGAATAGGGTCCATGCTTCAGGCTCTTCTAAGACACCGATCAGGATCTCCTTTGTCGATGCTTCTGGCATTCGTATCATTTGGCAAAAGCCTTTTTTCCGTGACGTTATCACAACTGTGCAGCCCATATTGCCATTTGTAATTGGAATTTCAATGTCTGCAAAGTTAAAATTTTCCCAAACATCGTCCAATATTACAAGGTTCTTTTTCCCATTGTTCAATCTACGATATAGTTGACCTGCATTTCCATTCAGTGTTAGTCCCAATTGGGACGCAAGCTTTTCTTTAACAATTTTCTCATCGAGAGTTTGTGAAATAGTTGCCATGGCAACATCATCAAAAAGCCCATTTCGCTCTGCTAGCTTGCCTACCTCTACCACCATAGTGGTCTTGCCAACACCGCCTGCTCCATATACACCAATCATTTTAACGCACGAATCTTCCAAAGCTTTCATGATCTCTTTAAAGATCTTTGCTCTCGAATCAAAATCCTCGTAACCTTGAGAGAAATTGTACCCAAATTTCATATGAGGTACGGGGTGTGACACTTCCAATGTCATAAACTTCTCACCCTCGTCTTTGAGACTAATAACACGATCTGTCTTCTCTTTGGAAACCTTGCCTATCCAATAACGCCAATAAATATTCGGACACCAATTGAAGCACAACTTGTTTTCTCCCTTTCCTAGAAATGCCACCACATCTATGTTCATCTCATTTGCTGACTTTATCCACTGCAGAACATCAGCCTCAGGGATTTCACCATTGTTTCTGGCTCTCTCAACCCTTCCATCGATCCTTCTCACCTCATTTTCAAGTTTTTCGCTTTCATCTTGGAGTTCTTTACTATTCTTCTTATGGTGAATCACATAGCCCATGTGATCCCAAGCTGTTATGCAACATTTTTCGATTGCGACCGAGCATTTATTAAGGATTTGGGTCAAACAAATCATTTTTGTTTTTCCTTCTCTTCCTCTTTTTCCTTTGCTCTATGTCTATCTCTCCCTCTTCAATTGCTGAAAACAAAAGGGTACAACATTAATAACAAGAACTAACTGTTGTAAATAAATAAATAAAAATACACAACTTTTGCTTCAAGAGTTGCAGATTTTATTTATTTTTTCTTTTCAATTACAAGCCAATAGCCTTGACTCTGCTGTGTGAAACAAATGAAAAAACAAGTACAAGCTAGTTAATTTAACAAAGATTAAAATGTAAATTATATAGGAAGAAGTACATGTATTAATTAGTTCACATTTGGTTGATGAAACAGAAGGGACTGCATTAGTTTGATATTATTGGATAATAATAATAATAATAATATGGAAATACAAAATGTATACAGTATGATTCTGTAAAAAAAAAAAAAAAAATCTGGAAAATTATTATTTTCTTTTTGTTGAAAAATGAGAATAGGCTAAATATTTTTAAATAGAAACTACGTGGGAGATTCTTGTAATTGTTAAATACTTCAAGGGACCCGTGTAATTAGCCCAAATATTTTTAAATAGAATATTAAATCAAGAATTAAAGTTTAAAAAGGAAAAAGACTTGAGAATTAAGATTTACTCATACTCTAGAAAATGAATCAATCACAGTTTAAATGAATAGATTTGACATTAAGAATTTAAGGAGTATAGCATTTAATCCAATGTAAAAGGATCTCCAATCCTTTCATCAGAGAAATATTTTTTTATCAAATTTGAATTTGATGAAAATTTAAAAAGATAAAACATTAGAGATAATTTTTCATCAAATTTGATAAAAGGGTTAGAATCCTTCATATCAAATCAAGTTTTTTACTCAAATTTGAAATCAAATTAGATGAGAAAAAATAGTGAAGGGTTAGAAATACTCTAAAAAATTTAGATTTAGATGTCAAGAATAAATTTGAGATTTATAATGATGGATTTCAAATAACTTGTAAAAATAGTGATGTGAAATCCTACCACAAAAATTCTACTTGTACAACAATTACAAGTCTCATACTTCTATTAAATCCTCTGCTTCAAAGTTATCAATCTATCTTCAATAAGATATCTTCTTATAATTTTATAAAATTCAATCCCAATTATGAGAAGAAACAGATCATTAACCAATTAGTAAATTGATTGTGAATTTTAAAAATTAGTAGCTAAAGTTTAGATTTGAACTCCAAATCCAAAAAGAAAAGCATTAAACATCCGCAATAAAAAGGAAATTATTAGGAAGATTACAGACATGAGACATACCTTCTTTTTTTTCTTCTTTGTCCTTAAATTGGGAAAATATTGTGGTTACAAAAATGGAATAATGAAGAGTTCGGGGATGAGATTCACAAGTAGCAGATGAGAGAGACAGCAAAGACTTCACAACAAAGTGCCAATCAAAAACATATTAAACGATGTGTGGCTATAAAATTAGTAGTACCTCGGATTGACACTGTTCACATGTACTATATTGACTAGGGGTTGACTAGGTGTCTTGGGTCAATTACTTGTGAGATAAGGTTATTGGTTTAATTCTTATTAAAAAAAAAAAAATTGATATTTATTATTTCTCTTCCCAGTTATATATAATAATTGTTTTTTTTTATTAAATTTAATTTTAGTGATTGTTTGTTTTCTAGTTATTATAGTAAGCTAATTTGATGTAATATTTCTTATATTTATTACTTTTCTCTTACTGATTAACAAAATCAAAAAGACTAGGAAAAGTGGGTATTGTAACGAGTGGAATCAAATTGAATTTATACTTTAATCTCAGTTGGAGATTTATATTAAATTATTAAACTTCATTCATTCTGAACTCAATTGATTGAATCGTGACCCATTAGTAACTATATAATATTGTTGTGGTTTTATTATTATTATTTAATTACCATAAAAAAAGTTGTGAATATTTATGGTGTGTACCATTAAACGAAATATATTTTGTGGTGAAAAAATATTATATTTACTTTTGTCATTAAAGATGTTGAAATGTATTTTTAATTGATATATATATATATATATAGGTTTGTATATATATATATAGTTAGATATTTGTTTAAGAAATATCTATAAAATGGACCAAATGGAATTTTTGTCAAACTTTGAGAGTTCTTGCCGTGAGAAGAAGAGAAAAAGGGTTCTAATGTTAGTTTTTCATGGGTTTGATCTAGTATAAGTCATTTTTGACGCCTAGTACTATGGATCAAAACGTAGATGACGGAAAATGCATCGCTTGGCTCCAAAAAAATTTAATTTCTGTTGCCGAAAAATTTGAAAGCTTATTGGCTTGAGGTTGGGATTTTTCCTACACTTCTTTATGTACTTTTACTTGATTATATGAAACTTAGAGTTGTATATAGTTTAATTAGAATTTTTAGAAAATTTGTGATTTATTTGCTTAAAAGAGAAATTTTGAGACAAATAAAGAGTTGATGCCCAAATTGTGAAAGTGCAAACTTGGAATATCTTTGTAAGGTTATGAAAGAACTATGTTTTAAATTTGAACCAAAACGGGTTTCGATTCGATCGGTTTTGAAATTTTTACTGCTTTGCGACCAAAAAAGTATTTTTAAAGAAAATAAAGGAATTACGTTTAACTTTTGGGACTTTTGACCAAAATAGGATGTCATAGTTGAATAATGCTGGGAGAATGAGTTTGGAAAGAAAATGATGTTTTATTGGGCATTAACGGTATTATTTTGCTTAATGTATCTGTTGGAATAAAACCGACACGGTTATAAATAGACCTTGAGAGGTTACCGGACATGATTGTGATATGAAAACTAGTGTAGTTGTTCATATTTGATGAGATGTGGAATAGATTGTATTTATTGAAATTTTTAGAATTTAATTGTTTAAATATCTGTTTAGAAATATCTGTTTTGGGCTATCGGTGGAGGATAGCCATGATTGTTGTAGAAAAGCATGAGACTTAGGTAAATCGAACCACATTTCTCATTTGTTGCATTGGACATTGCATTACATTCATTTCATTGGAAATGTATCTATTTTTTAGAAATGTTTGAAAATGTATCTGTTTGCGAAAAGATGAATACTTGGTGAATCTGAGCAGGGGTGTGGAACTGCGCGGTTAGGTGTCGAGCCTTCCAGTTTACTGGTAAAAATGACAGTGGTAGTGCATTAGGGTCTACTTACAGACACTCACCTAGAGATTCACAGAACTTGTATTCATGTAACAGATATGGTTTAAAATGGAAATGACTTTATATTTGTTGTTGCATCTCAGCATTGCATGCTTTTATAAAAAGAGAGATAAACTATTTTATCATGAGCATGGCATAAGCATACTCCTCTTTAGTCTTGTCATGGTCCATATGTTGTGTAGTATATCTCTACTGGGCTATGGATCACCCTACAAGGGAAACCATTTCAGGTACAGGTGATATGCCTCCGCCAAGGCATTGACTTGGGAGGACTCGGAGCTGAGGCTTCATTTTTGTTTATGGTTATTTGTTGAATGTAAGCCCATGGCTGTATTTGCGTTGAGTTGAAACTCCATTTTGTGTAACCAAGAATGTTCTTGGATAAATTTGTAAGCCTGTAGGGCACTTATTATCTGTTTGGTTTCTATTTCATACTTGTTGTAAAATGCATGTTCGGGATTGGAACTGGGGCATTGAGATGTGAACAACATGTATTTGGCATTTGGGATTTAATAGAAATGGAAGTATGGAATAGTTAGCTATATATATGTGTTTATCTATCAGGTGGATTTTGTTGCATAAATAGATATATCATGTCTAATTTTCGGGACGTTACAGATATCAATTTAAGATTTTTTAGTATAAGATTCTTAATATTAAGATTTTATAAGATAAATGACAAATAATATTTTTATAATAGCTACATTTCACAACAAAGTGCCAATCAAAAACATATTAAACGATGTGTGGCTATAAAATTGGTAGTACCTCAGATTGATACTGTTCATATATTGACTAGGGGTTGACTAGGCCTCTTGGGTCAATTACTTGTGAGATAAGGTTACAGGTTTAATTCTTATTATTCTTTTAAAAAAAAAAAAATTGATATTTATTATTTCTCTTCCCAGTTATATATAATAATTGTTTTTTTTTATTAAATTTAATTTTAGTGATTGTTTGTTTTCTAATTATTATAGTAAGCTAATTTGATGTAATATTTCTTATATTTATTACTTTTCTCTTACTGATTAACAAAATCAAAAAGACTAGAAAGAGCGGATGTCAATTTAGGATTTTTTAGTATAAAATTCTTAATATTAAGATTTTATAAGATAAATGACATATAATATTTTTATAGTAGTTAGAGTCTCTCAACATTTTCACAGAAAAATTTTAATCCAGAAAAATTTCAACTTCACAAAAAAATTTCAGAAATTTGACAGAGAAATTTATCATAGAAATTTAATTCTTTGTGATGACTTGAAATTTCTCTAATAATATTATGGGGAATTGTTTTTAAGGTCTTTGGTATTAAGATTTTATAGTATAAATGACATATAATATTTTCATAATGGTTGGGGTCCCTCAACATTTCTTCAAAAAAATTTCTCTAGTTTGCTCAACTTCTCTGATTTTCTGTGTTTTGAAAATTCTCTAGGTTGAATTTTCTCTGATTTACTCAAAAATTTCTCTGTAATTTGCTCACAATTTTCTCTGTGTATTTGACTAATTTTCTCTAGTTTGCTCATAATTTTTTCTGTGTTTTAACCAAATCAGAGAAAATTGTCTTTTCACAGAGAAATTTTAAGCAACCTTTAACAAACACACACACAAAAAGAGATTGAGGATTGAAAATGCTCTTACTCAAATTTATGCTTGAATCTAAGTTTTGCCACTGGCGTAGTCAAATTAAGTATAATAACAAACTTATATGAACAAATATACATATATGACATAACTTTGGCAACTCTGTGTGTATGCACGCGCGTGAAATTTTCTTTGGCGTTTGAAATTTTCTTTAAGACTAATAACATGATCTGTCTTCTCTTTGGAATCCTTGTCTAGCCAGTAACGCCAACAAATATTCGGACATTGTTGGCTTTTTGGCTTTCGAAAGTTATTTTCGTAATTATGAGCATGCCAGCAAAGATCAATCAGTCCTTACAGAATTTTAATTGCCAACCAATTATTCAGACGATTGTGTTATAGTTCTTTCAGCCTCAATGAAGAGGACTTTTACTGGTGGCTTGATTTAAGAGAATTTAAGCATAAGAACAGTTAAATAAAGAACAATTGAAGCATTTCATTAGTATGAAAGACTTACAATGATCCAAACTCAGCCTCGTAGAGATTTACAGCGACAATATACTGGAAAACTACTCCTATGAATGAAGTGTAGTGCAGGAATTCAAAGTACAGAAATGTAAAGAACAGGAAATATAAAAACTGGAATAAAATATGTAAAGTAAGACTGAATTTTTAGATATGAGCCTCCCCCTTTCCCTGAGGTCTTCCCTGTTATTTATACTCCCCAAAGATAACCATCGAACTACACTTCAAACTGTTGAACTGCTTCTCTGTAATCGCTGATCATGCTGCCTTATGAATAGTTCCACTACGCTTTCACTTGCGGTTAGGCTTCCCTCCTATATTTTGAATTTGAATGTGAGTAACCGTTGAAGCCACGTCACTTTGCATCTCTTTGTTGATCTACTGTTACTCAGATCTTATAACAACCAATTTTAACCGCCACGTGTATGATCAGGATCGGAGACTTGACTGGTTTCCCCATATTACCCTTACTTTGCCATACGTCGAATTGTCATTGGCTCATACAAAATATGTAGCCAACATTACCCCCCGCACTAATATACCCAAGACTTGGTGATATTAGTGGATCAGGGTCTTTTCCCCATATCTTAGAACATGCATGGGTTTTGCATCTACCCAAAAATGCAACTGTCACTCACCATCTGTATTAAACTCTCGTTTAATCCTTTAAGCACTTCCACTGTCTTAGCATTCGAACAGACTGATACATTTCATGGCCGAAATTTTTTCCTCCAGTGATCGAGCACACGAAGAGTCATATGCCGATGTTGTTCCTCCTCGAAAGAACGTCCATGTATTTATTAGCCACCTTTACCCACCTTTCTATATTCAAGTCATGAATGCCTTTGCAAATTACCAACCTTTGGATTACGAACACATTGCTCTTAATCCTTCGATTCAGAAAGTTGCAGGTATAGACATAAGAAGTTCTTCCTCTAACTCACCCTTACAATTCGAACAAACTGCTCTCAAACCTTTGATTCGAAAAGTTGCAAATATGGACGTGAGAAACTCTTCTTCACAAGTCTCTGTATGGGATAAAGCTGTAACTTCTTCCTCTTCTGAGGGTTCTGACTGGACAAGCTGGTCAACACCTGAGACCTGTGATTTGAAGGAGCGAATCAACCATCATTTTGT